GAGCACGCAGATCCTGGGGCGCTGCCCGTCCCGCTCATGGTCCTGGCAAAGTACAAGCGAGTCCAGGCCCAGGGATTCCCTCTTGCCCTGGCCCTCCCACCCCCCGCATAGTTGCGTACTGCCTGGCTGGTAGACACACTCATGCAGCACAACTCCGTACTGATACTCCTAATAATAATAAAACTTACCTAATTAGTAAATACTGGACATTTTATACATCCAATATTTTCTCAATTTGTTTCCTAGACAGAACCCTCAAATACCAGACTGTCTGGTTCAGAACCGAACACCTGGCAACCCTAATTACACAAGTGTTATCCCTCAAACTTTTCCTCTTGCAAGGTGTAAGTTAAGTCCTGATTTTAGGTCCATGGAAATGAGGGTGGCACTTCACAGACAGGTTGGCCTAGAGGTACATTCCTATAGGGTCTCAAAGCAAAAAGAACAGTAAACAGTACCCAGCAATGACAATTGTGTATAGTTTATCAATGCATCCTTTTGAGCTCAGGTTGGCATCTGTGAGGGACGGATGCCATAACTTATGCTGACATGCTAGCCCTCTCCCTGAACTCTGCTTGGCATTCAGGGAGTATGTACTTGTTATCTCTTCTTGAACCACGGAGTAGACTCCGAGGCCCCTCTCTGTGAGTTATGTGCCCGCAACTCATGATAAGTCCCCCAATTACTGCTCCCCACCTGTGGTTGTGCTTTCTTAGCTTGTTTATGGCTGATTAGACGAACATGTCTGTTTCTTGCTTATCTCAACCTTTCTTTAGCCAAGTATGATCCATTGTTAGGTCCTAGGCCTCAGACCAGGCCTGTCCAGTTTGGGCATATGTGGAAGATTCTTAACAAAGTCTGTGGTCAGACTCTTACATACATATTGTTAGGATTTTGGCCCTTCAGTGCCTTACAGTCTTCACATGAGCTCATAAGTTTTACAGAACTGTAGATATGGGATTTTGCCCTATTTATGAATTTTGCAGTTAGAGTTGGGCTACAGATTTGCTTTTGTATAGCATGCTAAGTAATGTTTTTGTTAGGATACCAAGCGATTTAAGAGTCTGATTTATGTGTATACAGGGAGAGATGGAGAGGTTTGGAAGTATATGGCACATAGAGCATCATCATGCTTCTTCCTGAAGTGCATTTGCCCTTTTTAAGTTTTGAGATGCAGTATTGCCCACTCCTTGCATTCAAAAACCATGAGTCAGGCCCACTTAAAATAATGAAATGAGCTTAAAATGAAGAGATTTTTTAAAAATAACAAAAATTGGGTACTTTTCATTTACAGTTTTGCTTTTGAATCTTTAGAGATTATGTTTTCTCTGCAACCTAAGGAGCTAAAAATTACTTTTTAAAAAATGCAAACAGAATCTGTTATAATCACAATTCCAGAAAGTGATGCTTTAAGAAAAATCCCAAATGTTACATAACTCATCATAAAACTGCAAGTTAGCAAGCAAGATGGGTGAAGCCAGGTGGAGACGGGAGTCGTCTGCCACATGTTTTAGAACGTGTACCTGGAATTTAAAACATTAATTTGTTTAGGAAAATTTGGGCCTTGTTGTGTAACTCTTAATTCCACCACCCTCACAGACTGCATCATGAAGGGGATAGACTGAGATTGATTCTCTCCTCCCTGCATTTTTTTAGAAAGGGTGGGGAGCAGGTACTAAGGATGTTAAATATCGAGTAATTGACTAGTTAAGTAGTCAATGGAATGTCCATCGACTACTCGACAAGTCAATAGGCACTTCCGTATTCCTCCTTTGAAATGTACAAGAGCACCCACTCTTTCAAAGGAGGAATGCGGAACTCCGTGTGCAGACCGGGGCCAGCGGGAAGTCCTGCTGACTCTGGGCTGCGCGTGGGTGCCATCTTTGAAATGTATGAGTCCCCAGCGGGGGCTTTTGTGCATTTCAAAGTGGAAGCGCCCTCCTGGAGTCTAGGGTCCCCTGCTGACCCTGGGCTCTATGCTGCACTGCCGCTTTGAAATGCCACAGCTGACTACACAGCTGATCCTGGGCTCTGTGAGGTATTTCTGCGCAACACGGGATCAGATGGGGACTCCCCAGCTAACCCCAGGCTCCGCACGGCATTTCACCATAACCCAGAATCAGCTGGAGACTCCAAAACTGACCCTGGGTTCTATGCCCTGCACTAGAACCCGGACTCCCCAAATGACCCCGGACGCCACGCATTTCAAAGCAGCAGCGCTGCTCAGAGCCCAGGTACGGACTCCATGCAGTGCTGCTGCTTTGAAGTACCCCCTTTTCCAGTCCCCTAGAGCTCTGATCCCACCCAGGAGGCTGACTAGAGCCCCAATCACTTCCCCTCTCTGCCCATTGGGGGTGGAGCCAGAGCTCTGATCCCACCCTGGAGGCTGGCTAGAACAGGGGTGGCCAAACTGTGGCTCTTGAGCCGCATGTGGCTCTTTGCTCCAAAAAATTATTCTGAGATATGAGTCTTCCCTTATTGTTTTTGAACCTCTCGTATTTGCAGTCTGGGACAGACCTGAATTTTTAGAACTATAAAAAAGCCATAATCTTCATAAGTAAAAAAAATGAGGAAACCATACCAGAGATCAACAAGCTGGAGTGAAAAAGACACTTCAAATTATGCTAATTTACTTCTCAGTTCAGTTTAATTTTAAAAAACTCACAAGACAAAATAGTAATAGAGATGTAGCTGTGTTAGTCTAGTCTAGCTGAAACAAAAAACAGGACTATGTAGCACTTTAAAGACTAACAAGATGGTTTATTAGGTGATGAGCTTTTGTGAGCCAGACCCACTTCCTCAGATCAAATTGTGGAAAAAATAGGCATGACCATATTGTAGATCTCACTCAGGCCTGGCCCATCTCCTCCCCCCTCCTTCCTGTTTCCTGTGCGTCCAGATTCCCCACAGCCAGTGCTCCCAGTTCTAATCATTACAAGCAGCATGGAGAAATGGAGCTCAGGGCGTAAATAAGTTTGTGCTCTGAAAGTTATACTTAGATATGTCTAGAGCAAGGGTAAGGTAAATGTCTGTGAACTAATGATATTAGCGGTGATAATTGGGGAAGCTATCTTTGTAATGGGTAAGATAATTAGCGTCTTTATTCAAATTTGAGTGTAAAGTGTCAAATTTAAGCATGAATGACAGTTCAGAGGATTCTCTTTGAAGTGAAGTCTTAAAAGGTCTTTGAAGCAGGATGCAGGTAATCAAGTCGTTGAGACAATGTCCTTTCTGGTTGAAATGGCAAGAAACTTTTTTTTCTTTGTGATCCTGTCTGATATCTGTTTTGTGGGCATTGATCCTTTGGCGAAGTGTCTGAGACCTTTGTCCAATGTACATAGAGGATGGACACTTTCGGCACATGATTGCATAAATTATATTTCTGGATGTGCAGGAATATGTGTTCTTGATCTTATAACTCACTTGGTTGGGTCCAATAATGGTATCAGCAGAGTGAATATGTGGACAAAGCTGGCAATGGTGTTTGTTGCAAGGAAAAGTTCCAGGGTTGGTATTCATGTGGTATTTCCTGTGGTTGTTGGTAAGAATCATCCTGAGGTTAGGTGATTGTCTGTAGGAGACAATGGGTCTGTCTCGCAGAGCCTCCCGGAGTGTAGTATCTTATTCTAGTATAGGTTGTAGTTTATTGATAATGTGTTGGACGAGTTTAAGTTGGGGGTTATAGGTGATGACAAGTGGTGTTCTATATTTTTGGGTCTGTCTTGAAGTAGATGGTTTCTGGGTATTTGTCTGGCTCTTACAATTTGTTTTTTTATTTCTCCAGGTGTGTAATTGAGGTTTATAAATGCTTGGTAGAGATCCTGAAGTTTCTGGTCTCTGTCAGTGGGATTAGAGCAGATGCGGTTGTATCAAAGGGCTTGGCTATAGACGATGGATCATATGGTGTGTTCTGGATGGGAGCTGGAGGCATGAAGGTAACTGTATGAGTCAATGGGTTTTCTGTAGAGAGTGGTGTCTAATTTACCATTGGTGATTTGTACTGTGGTATCCAGGAAATGGATCTCTCGTGTAGAATGGTCCAGGCTGAGACTGATGGTGGGGTGTAGGTTGTTAAAATCTCTGTGGAACATCTCCAGTGTTTCTTGGCCATGGGTCCAGATCATAAAGATGTCATTGATGTAGCATAAGTAGAGAAAGCGTAAAAGGGGACGGGATCTGAGGAAACGTTGTTCTAAGTCAACCATAAAGATGTTAGCTTACTGTGGGGCCAGTAGTGATACATTTAAAATACGTGATGGGGATGCTTTTTTTTAGTTGAGAATATCACTGTATTTTAAACTTTTTTTTAAATTTGATGTTTGCTCCTTGTCAAGTTCTCGGAATATCTATGGACTGGCCATGAATTTTTTAACTGACTAGAGACTTTTTTTATTGGTTTATTGAGGCTTTTTTATTGGTTTGTGTCCAAAAAGTCCCGTAATGTTATTTTTATCACTACATTTTGTGTACTATACCTATCCATCTATAGATATATAAAAATAAATATATAATACATGGCTCTTTACACTCTATCCACAGCTATTTTGGCTCTTGTCTCTACTGGTTGGCCACCCCTTGGTTAGAACCTTGATCTCTTCCCCTCCCTGGACCGTGCGGGGGCGGAGCTTAAAACCCTAATTCCATCCCCTGCCGCTAGGAAGAGGTGGAGTCAGTAGAACTCAGGTCACGTGTTCTTGTTGACACGTATCCCAGGAACTGGGAGGGGGGGGAAATGTGACGTTGGCCGGGAAGTGACGTTCGAAGAGGGTGACGGGTACGAGGTCATATAAGACGTTGGCTCAGCGCTGTCGTCTGTTAGTAGAAGGGGGGGCCGGAAGTAGTCAGGGCGGAGCAGCAGCTGGAGCGAAGCTGCCCCCGCTGGAGGGCTGGGGCCCGTCGCCTCCCGGAGCCAGCCCCGGCAGACATGGATTTCCGGGAGATCCTCATGGTGGCGTCTGAGCAGCAGGGGCTGAGCTCGGTGTCCATATAAGACGTTGGCTCAGCGCTGTCGTCTGTTAGTAGAAGGGGGGGCCGGAAGTAGTCAGGGCGGAGCAGCAGCTGGAGCGAAGCTGCCCCCGCTGGAGGGCTGGGGCCCGTCGCCTCCCGGAGCCAGCCCCGGCAGACATGGATTTCCGGGAGATCCTCATGGTGGCGTCTGAGCAGCAGGGGCTGAGCTCGGTGTCGGTGAGAGCCAGGGGGAAGGCCGGGGGGCGGCTGGGGGCACCTGAGCTGGCTGGGGGGGAGGGGCCGGGGGGCACCGGTGAGGGT